ATTTGTAATACATTTATGTATAAATTTAATTATAATATTTATAATATTTATTATTTATAAAGTATTTATTTAATTTTTATTATTTAGGCCCCTCATTACAAAAAGGACATTGAATTGCTGGAGCATGTCCAGAGAAGGGCAATGAATCTGGTGAGGGGTCTGGAGAACAAGTCTTCTGAGAAGCAGCTGAGGGAACTGCAGCTGTTTAAGTATGGAGAAGAGGAGGCTGAAGGGAGACCTCATGCTCTCTACAATTACCTGAAAGAGGGTTGTGGTGAGGAGGGTATTGGTCTCTTCTCCCAAGTAACTAGCGACAGAACGAGAGGAAATGGCCTCAAGTTGTGCCAGGGGAGGTTTAGGCTGGATATTAGGAAAAATTTCTTTACTGAGAGAGTGGTCAAGCATTGGAACAGGCTGCCCAGGGAGGTGGTGGAGTCACCATCACTGGAAGTGTTACAAAAAATGTGTAGACGTAGCACTTCAGGACACGGTTTAGTGGGCATGGTGGTGCTGGGTTGACGGTTGGACTTGATGATCTTGAAGGTCTTTTCCAACCTTAATGATTCTGTGATTCTATGATTAGATCTCTTTTATAAGGGATATAACTATTACTGCCCCATTTCACGAATGAGAAAGCTAAGACTCAAAAAGATGAAGTGACTTGGCAAAGGTTACGCATTTAGTGTCACAGTCAAGACCAGAGACCAAGTTTTATTATCACTTGCATCAAAACTGAACCCTCAATAACTGGAAGCAAGAAGTGTGTCACAATTTGGAAGAATTACAGAGAGACAGGGGTCAAGTACAATCAAACCCGTTTTGTCTCCCCTAAGGCTCCACAAGCCCCTGTTTATTTGAAACAAATGCCAAGCTGCCTCTCTTAAAGCATGTGCATCGACGTGTATGTACTAAGAGCTTTCTTAATGATTTATCTGGGCTGATCTCACATGCGATCCCAGTTCTCTCTAGCGTCTTGACCTCCAGAGAAGGTAAACATGTAAAAACGTAACCCTAACTCTCTGTTTAATTGCTTTAAAACTTAAAACAACCACATTTGTTGATGAAGGCAAATCCTTCCAGAATGGTACAACGTCTGCAGGTCTCACCTTTTTTGCTGAACTGTTTTCTTCTGCCTGCGACGGGGGTCTATTCATCTGCGGATGTAATTCAACCTCAGATGCTTGCTCCATCTGCAACAACAAATCAGTCATTGCTACACCCAGAAAATGACTAGCAGTCACATACAATAAAGCCAATGAAAGGAAACGTTATACGCAAAAGAAAAGTTACTTTTACAATTCAACAGTAGGGGAAATGGAGATCTAGGGTGACAGCTGAATGGATGACGTGTCTTTTGCAGATTTTTAACGAAACAGTTTTCTTGCATTTTATTGTGCTGAGAAAACAAGAGAAAAGTTTTTCTGTGAAGGTTTAGGAACCATGTCTCTGAGTATAAATGACCTAGTACCCACAGTTTCTTTTGGATTTACGCTTACAGCCTAAATACTCAGAGAAAGACTGGGGGGAGAGAAATGATAAAAGCCAGGAACATCTTGGCTGCGCCTTGTCACCTTATCATCTCCTGAAACCGATGAAAATTCATTGGAATAAGCCTCCGTCTTTGAAGTTTGCAAGGCTGGAGTAAGAATGTCTGAATTATACCAAAAATTTCAGTAAAGTTACTGAAAACACAAGTCATAAAAGAAGCCAAATGAATCTTTCCTCCTCCCTTCTCACGTTTCAAACATAACCAGAAATGAACGCTCACCACACAGGTCTACACTTCGGCAAAACAAAACACCCTCCCCCCAGCATATCTGACCCAGCAGCAAATTAAAACAGAGGGTTAATCCCTTGCTTCGCCTCTCCTGGAATCTCCCAGAGTCTTTCGAGTTACTTCCCCAGGACAGGGCACAGCACACCACCTAAGGGAGGGCGGTGGGATTTGGAGCTGCCTGTCCCCGGGCGCGTGGCGGCAAACAGAGTATAAACACGGTGCGGCTGTTTTCTGTCCAGGAGGTATATGCTGGCTTTCCAAGACGGGCAAGGTAGGCAGGAGCGGGAGGCTGAGGGCACTTGGCACTGACAGAAGGTTGCTTCTCCTCTTTCCCAACTTCTGCCAAGTCAGAGCCAGGCTTGACAACAGTCCCCAGGCAGGAGAGGCAACCTGCCATCCTGCTCTCTCCTCAAAAAAGGCTCGTTTCTAGGCAGGTAAAAGCTTCGGTTCAAAACCAAGTTCAAGACAAACCTCAAACTTTAAAGGGGCCAGGATTTTAGCCATAATAATAACTTGTCGCACACTGAAGAACCTGATTTGCTGTTGCCAAGAGGTTTCTGCGTAGGCCCATCAAGTGCTGTAGCAGTCACAAGTTTCCCAGTGCTTAACCGTAGAGTTAAACAAAAATGAGAGAATGCACAGAACTTGGCATTATTTAAAAAGTAGGGACTTTTTCATACTATTTCCATTTCTTTCATAACACAGAGTACGAGCTCTACAGAAAGCTGCAGGTGAGACGCGGTTCTGTCAGGTTACTGCTGTTCTCCAACAGTACGGTGTCAAACACAGGGATTTGGGATCTTTTTTTTAAAACGCCTGTGAAATTCCTCAGGAGAGGAGGCAAAGGTGTTTTGGCCAACAAGATTTCTCTCCCCCCGCCTCTTCTAAATGTGCTACACCTGTAGTGTTACCTGATGGTTAAAAAAGACCCCAACAACTCACCCTGTAATTTTCCAGTATTTAAATATTAGTATCTTAAATATTTGGATGTTAGTAACGATTGGTTACTAACATTTGAATTCTGGAAAGCTTTTCATGGATTGAAGTGCTGCTTCTGTAATTGTAGATTTCTGGTACAAATAGGAGATGGAAATGGAAAAAGCAATCTTTCTTTCCGTCTACAAAAACCAAAGACCTTTAAAAGTCCATTTAATGCAACAGGGCATTTTGTTATCAGCAACCTGAATAGCCCCTATCCTCCCTGATTTCTACAACCATTTTTTATATATTTGAAAGAAGTGAAGGTTCTATGCACTGGTAACAGTAGTCTGGCAAAGTCCATGAGGCTTTCAAGAATGATTTGGGGATAGTGAAGCTCAAGTACCCAACAGAAGCATTCAATAAATCTGGGCCCAAACCACATCACTTCTTTGACAAATCACTCAATTAGGGACAGCATCAAAAGCAAGACTACAGCAACTTATCCCACGGAATGAAAAAGAGACCAACTCTGTGTTATTTACGTATAGATAAAATGCAGCTTTTCAAGAACCGATGTGTTCAAACAGTGTAGAAGTACCTAAATAGACTGATACTTTACAATGTCAATTGCAAATAAGCAAGAAAATTAAAATCAGAATCAAATAAAGGGCACGGAGGGGGACACACAAAAATAAAAGCCCAAACTTTTGCAGAAAATATTTTTTTTTCCTTTTTTTTTAATGGCCTCATTGCAAGAGAATGTTATTTTAAACTGAAGGGAACTGAAAAGGAAAAAAAAGGGTAAACTTTGTGTTCTGGAGGAAGCAAATATAAGTGTGCTGATGCCAAAAAGGGTAAGATTTCAAAATTTCCAACAGTTTGATATCACAGTTCCTACTGACGCAAGATACATTTTTTACTAGCCGAGTGCCATGATGTGGCTGTCAGCCTAACAGCTGTGGCAACCGCTGTGCTGCAGGGCTCTGGTACCCACTGGCTGAGGCTGGGCCACTGGCCTGCCAGGACGTGAGGATGGCAAAGCTCAGCAGCAGTGGGGTTGGCTGGAGCAGGCAGGTGGTAAAAATAAATAGTTATGGTTGACCAAAAATAGAAAAAAAAAAGTAAAAAAAAAAAAGGAGTAGTTCTGGTGATGCAGTTCATGCATAATGAATAAAACCAAGCGACTGCCATGTCCCTAAAGTGCCACCTAGTGGCATGTGGGATAGGACACTTCTGAGTGTTTTGCTTAGAGGAAAGTATCAAATAATAGTTGTCTGCATTATTCAGAGCCTGCAGACTGAGCCTGCCCCAGAGGGTGGGCAGGCAGCCGGCGCTGGGCACGGCAAGGCTCGGCTCTTCGGAGTATCTCCTTCCCCCCTCATGCAGAATCTGGGTCTACACATTAATGATCTGCCGGCAGAGCTACAAGTTTTCCTCTACGAGAGATCTCCATTCCTCCGAGCGATGTGCCTCCGACACAATTGCCCAAGCGTATAAAAATCGGTATGCTGTTGCAGGGCATTTTGTTCAGGGACTGACGGCATTTAACCCAGGCAAAAACCTTTTGTTGAACTGCAACGTGCATCAGTGCAAAGGAGGTTTGCTGATTCAGCTAACCCGGCAAAGTCCTCTAGGCAAGGCCTGAGAGGCTTGACAAATAAGTTTGCAAGCTGATGTCTCCCCACACCAGCTCCACATGGATTTTAAAGGAAAAATAACTCCTGCTTTTTCTTTAGACAGAGGGATTCTTTACAGATTTCCTTCACTGATTTGGACGTGGGGTAAAAGCCAGTCCCTGTAGCCTTCTGGTCATGGGCAGAGTGAGACTGGCTCCAGGATTCTCCAGTCCAAGCTCCTGTAGCGGAGTGTAAGGAAAAGGTGATCCATCAGGAGCAGCCGAGGTGGGTTCCCTTTAGTTCTCCACCGGTTTTATACCATGACTAGTATAGTCTTTGGGCAACTCACTTCTCATTCAGAAACACAGCAATAAACTGCCTCCCTCCATCACAGCAATAAATGTCTTGAAGTTTTCCCGCATCTTGGAAACTTCTCACTATTATATTAGGGTTTAAAATTCTGCACCACTGGTTTATAACACTGACAGATTATACATTATGCAGTATGGTCTTCCAAAGGAAAATTCAGTTACAGTAGTGTAAAAGTGCTTAAAAGTGCACTCCATTCGTGTCCACAGAACGGAGGAAGCTACCGACATCGGAAGTGCTGCTGTGCTGGTATGGCTGGGTCTACAGCCAGGGTTATAGCAGATGGGGAAAGAAAATCCTGCTTGTGTGTGCTACCGGCAGCGCAAAAGAGAGTTTGTAGACCAGGTCTAAGAGTATCTGGAGTTTGGGAAGAACAGTAAGCGACCACAGAACGGAGCAAGACAGCATCCTACTCCAAATCTCCCAAAGAGCTGCTCTTTGCAAAGACCGAAGTCCAGTTATTAATAGGTGGTTCCTCCTTTTTCCCCAGTGCAGTCTTGTATTTTCTAGGAATAGCCATGCCCTCCTCATTCTTCCAGGCAGAAGATAAAATTGGCCAACAAAGTTTCTGTACAACAGCCACAGCCAGAGACCAACCTGTGGCCTACAGCCAATACTGAGCATTAGGACAGATAATTCCTCATCGTTAAGGGGAGCATTAGGAATCGCAAATGCTCATTATTTCATTGCATGATCCTTGACCAGCGATTCATTATCTCCTCACTGCTCCACGTGACAAAACTTAACAGTACCTTTCTAAACGAATATATAACACTCACTTAAGCACTAAGTACTTTCAAAGCCTCACATGAAAGATTTTCATAACTGTAAGAGAACGCATTACCTTACAACTGGTTCTTCACTTACATTTCCATTTCTTTTGCTTTGCAATGCTAGATTATATGTAGATTTCACACCCACTTTTCAAGACAATCCATAACTGATCTTCCAGAACAGAAGACCTATGCAGAGCTTTCATATTTCTGTTACTGAGAGCCTTTTTGCAAGAGGGGAAGTATATTTTCAATCTCTCCTACAATTCAATCTCACCCACACTTACGCTCCAAGCTAACTTTACACATGGAAATAGTCTCATCGTAGTCAATGGTACTACTCACAGAAATGAAATTATCGCTGTGCATTCATTGGAATAGGCCATAATCATTACCTATAACAGTACCACTGCTTAGCTTTGCAAAAAAGTATTGAGAACTGCTTATCTGTAAGAAAAAGTAGGATACTAAAATGCTTAATGCTCAGTATGTGCCCACTGCAATCTTCTGTGATCTCTACGTAAGTTCATTTCAGTGGTGTTTTGCTCCTTTTTAAGCACCCATATTTTCGCACTTAATGCCAATTTCTAAGAAGTCAAGATGACCCAATTCCAGCTTCTGTGAGTCCTGTGCATCCCACACTGAACCATCAATTCTTTTTATTGCATGGTACAGAAACTGAAAATAGTAAGAGAGAAAGAAAACCCATAGGGATGCAAATGCAACAAGCTGCG